TTGGATGTGGAATGTGAGAAAAAAGGAGCTATTCAGCTATTCTGAACTCCAAGGTTTCAGACTGAGTGCCTGGAAGAATGGAATTGACTTTTACTGAGATATGGAAAATTGCAGGAGGAGCAGGTTTATGAGGGAGAAATGAGAGTTATAACGTGGAGATTTTAAGTTTGAAATGTCTACTGAATATTCAGTTGGAAAGTTTGAGTAGGCACTTGGCGATATAAGTTGGGTCTTGAGGGGAGAGCTTGGACTTGCTGTAAATTTGGAAGTTGTCACTATACAGATGGTATTTAAAGTCATGAGACTGGATGAGATTACGTAAGGTTGAGTGTGGCTACAGAAGAGGAGAGGTCTGAGGACTGAAACCAGGGCCCTCAAGTTAAGACGTCAGGAAGGTGAGAATATAGATGTGTGGAGAGCAAAAAAGGAGAGTCCAGGGAAGTAGGAGGAAAATTAGGAGAGATTGTGGTGATTTGAAGCCAAGTGAAGAAAAGTGTTTGAAGGAGGTGGAAATAGTTCTTAAATATTGTTGATAGGTATGTGAGATCAGGACTAAACATTGACCTGGCAGTATGGAGATCTTTGGTAAGCATAGTCATCAGTTTCAGTGGGGTGGCAGAGAGGAAAGCTGATCTAGAGTAAGACAGAATGGCAGAGGGGGAACTGTAGTCGGCCAGCAGAGACAACTCTTTCCAAGAGCTCTGCTCTAAAGAGAGACAGAGAAATGGGACAGTGGGTGGAAAGAGTTAAAGAGTGCCCTTTTTAGGTGTATGATCTTTAGCAATTTGCTAAACTCCTTGTGCCTCAGTTTCCTCATTTGTAAAATGGAGAAAATAATAGGATTGTGTGAAAATTAGATGGTTAATATATTTAAAATGTTTAGTGTACTTGTCTCTTAATATATTAGTTATCTATTGCTATATAGCATATTACCACAGGCTTAGAAGCTTAAAACAACACACATTATTATCATATCATAGTTTCTGTGGATCAGGAGTCCTGGCATGGCTTAGTTGGGTTCTCTGCTTCAGAGGCTCTCACAGGTTGCAATCAGGGTGTCAGCCAGGGCTGGATTCTCATCTGAAGTTGTGACTGGGGAAGAATTGTTTCCAGCTTCTGTCTTCCTCCAGTGTTGTTGGACCGAGGGCCTAAGTTCTTAGCTGGCTGTTGGCTGGAGCCTGCTGGTAGTTTCTTGCCACCTGGGCCTCTCCAACGTGGCCGCTTACTTCATCAAAGCATGCAAACTGAGAAAACAATGAAAGAAGCAAGAGAGAAGTTACAATCTTATGTAACTTAATTATGGAAGTAACATCTCATCACCATTGCCATATTGTATTGATTAGAAGCAAGCCACAGGTCCTGTTCTCAAGGAGGCAATTACACAAGGATGTGAATATCAGGAGATGGGGATCCTTGGGGGCCATCTTAGAGTCTTCCTGTCTCATTACTAAGCTCTCTGAGTGTTAGCTATCATCATCATCATCATCATTCTGGTGGGAGAAATGATTAAGTAAAAGGGAATGGAAGAGAGGAAAGGTAGAATTGAAGGAAAGATGTCCTTGATTAGACTACAGGGAAGGAAATTCAGTTTACAAGTGGAGGGATTGGCCATAGTTCATCTGTTGTTTTAAGAGGGGAAAGCAGAGTAAAAGGCCCCAACTGTGGCTAAGTGGTAAATTTAGAGGTTCTCTTTTGATGGTTTGTCCTCACTGCAGAGGAAGTCAGGTTATCAGCACAGAGGAAGGAGGAAGGAAGAGGTGTTATAGGTTTGAGGAGTGAAGAGAACGTGTGATTCATCTGCAGTGGTAGAGTGGATTGACTGGGGAGATGGAGTTACATTGCCAGGCAACTTGAAGGGCTTACTTGATGTTAGTAGCCATATATTTCAAGTGAGACCATTTAGCATGGTTGTGAGTTTTTCTTCAGTGCTCAGGTGCAAGTGTGGAGGAGGAGCAGGAATAGCACAATCAAATAAGATAATAAATAGATAAGTAAATAAATTAATAAAATAAGTAGTAATAGAGATTGGCTTTAAACGGGATGAAGGTTCTGCCAGGCAAGTATGATGGAGGGAGATAGGGGCAAGGGAATGGTTTTAGTGATGGACTGTGAAATGTAGGTCTGTTAAAGACAGAAGTGAGGGTAAGCAGAGGAGCACAGTGTAAAGATGTTAATTAGAGTCAGTGATTTGAATTGTTGGAGTTGAAGTACTGAGGAGAGAGCCAGGAAGTTAGGAGATGGTGGTTGGAATGGTTGCTTGAAATGCAGATTTTAGAAGAGATACTGTTATTGATAATGAGAAAGTCTTACAGTATCCAAATATAGGTCTCATTTGATCCAGTAACTTGGAATATGATGAAGAAAAGACACCATCTTTCTGGAACCTAAGGACTTTCTTAGGGAATATAGCTTGTGATTGATTGGTAGAGTAGGCTGCTATCTGTAGAAGGTAATTTTCTCTTTGCATTAGAGAATTGTCATGAAGGTTCCCTGGTGTTAAAAATCAAAGACAAAGCAAGAGTCAAAGGCTAACTTGTTAGGCACTATTTCAAGATTGAGGCCATAAGGTAATAATTACATAGTCCAAGGATTCAAGGTTTTATTTGATGTTGTAATAGTATTTGTGCAGATTAGTTTTAGATCTTTATTTAGTTCTGACAGGTAATGTTGTGGACATTTGCTTCTTTGACTAACCAGTATCCACTTACTCTGACACTGTAACAGCACCCTGGTTTTCCTTTGTGGAAACCACTGCTCTGTCTTTTCAGTCTGTGTGATTTTAATGGTGTTGACTACCCGTCCCCAAAGGTATCATGGACTCAGGCTGGGCAGTGAAAGAATCTCGTCTCTGGGTTCAGTAATAGGCCAACGAAGGACACATGACCTAGTCAGAGCCATGAGAGACAATTATGTTGTGCTGGGGACTTTTGAGAAGGAGAACTCTCGCTCTTCAGGAGCTGCTTTAGTCATCTTGCTACGCAAGGGGGAAGGCTGTCAAACAAGTGAGTCAACTTGGTGAGGAGAAGAGATAGTAGATGGTAAAAGAAGTCCTGGTAACATCATTTGAGCTCATAATTTGAGCCTCTTTAAAACCACCTCTGGGGCTGGCCCCGTGGCTTGTCGGTTAAGTGCGCGCGGTCCGCTGCTGGCTGCCCAGGTTCGGATCCCGGGCGCGCACCGATGCACCGCTTCTCCGGCCATGCTGAGGCCGCGTCCCACATACAGCAACTAGAAGGAAGTGCAGCTGTGACATACAACTATCTACTGGGGCTTTGGGGGGAAAAATAAATAAAATTTAAAAAAATAAATAAATAAATCCACCTCTGGAATTTTTAGTTACTTTTATCAATAAATCCTCTGTATGTCTAAGTGGTTTTCTTCTCACCTACCTCCTTTTTCATCAAAGGAGACCTAATAGGTAGATACAGTTATTATAAGGAGTTTGCCAAATCCTCTAAGCTTGTATGAGTAAGTGGAGTGCAGTATAGTTGAAACTTGGTTAAGATGTGGAATCTTCAAAACTCTCTTCCCCTTAGATCTCCTATATACTCTTCTTTAGTGGTGTAGCACAGAGAACATCAGCCCAATCTGGAGTCAAGTCCTGGGTCTGATACCAGCTAACTGTTATTTCAACCCTTTAAGCCTCAGTTTTCTCATCTATAGAATGAGAGCAATTTTGTGAGGTGATTGGGAGGATTAAATGGAATAATGGATGTAAAATGTCTAGCATGGTACCTGACATTGTTGGCTCCCTTCCCTCTTCTCTTTTCCAAACTTTTAGCAGACTGTCTGACATGTAGTAGTTGAATAAATTTTAGTGTAAAGAGTGCATACATAATTGAACAAATACCATTTGGGTCTGCTTTTGTCCCTTTTATTCCTGAATTTTTACTATTTTCAAAGCACTGCAATTTGGCTAATGGTCAGGTGGTTCTTTTTGCAGATGAAATCTTACTAAATAGAATTTTTTTTCCTTTCCAGCTTTAGAAGCTCTCTCTGACCCAGTTATACATTCATGTTCATATTATCATTCCAGGATTACTGTGGGGAATAATAATGACACCTGACACTCATTGAGTACTTGCTTTGTGTAAGGCATTATGCTTTATGCTTTATAAGTAGTATCTCACTCCTCATGATAGAATAACCTTAAAGCTGTGTGCTGATTCCAGAGTTCAAACTGCTTCTTAGAAGAAATGAGATAAGGTATGTAGTAGAGATTCAGCATACATTCCCATAACCTTTTTGAGAATTAAAACCCTTCTGATTACATATATCTAGATAGTTACAGACACAATATAGTGTATTGGTTAATAGCATAGATGCTGGAACCAGACTGCCTGGGTTTGAATCCTGGCTCCATCATTTACTAATTATATAACCTTGGCTAAATTATATAATCCCTGGGTGCCCCAGATTCATCTTAGAGTGGGGGTAATTAATAGTACTTACCTCATAGAGATGTGAGGATTAAATGCATAAATGTATGGAAAGTGCTTATAACAGTGTCAGGAGAGTAGTAAGTATTATATAAATATTAGCTATTATATTTAATAATCTCTTTTATTTCAGCAGATATTGGTCAGAGTTACAATCTTATACATAATAAAACTTGACTTTTGAAATCATCTTAAACTCAGTGGTGTCTCTAAATATCTTGTCAGAGTGTTATGCTCCTCTGTGAAGCCTTTTCTGGTAGCCTTTGTTATCTCTGAATTTTTATTGGACGTTGGGAACATAAGTTAACACTTCGTTGTTAAGTTATTTGACCAGTGTTAGTTTGTGTCACCAACTCAATTGACTTTAAGCTCTTTGAGAACTAAAATAATTTCTTACGTATCTTAGTATCCCTTATAGTGTAAAATATATAATGAGAGCTTGATACTTAATGATCAGTTATTACAGGCAGAGAGTAAAATAGAAGTAGTATATCATTTTATGTTTAAAAAGATTTTTTAGCATCTAAAACATAGACTTATTAGTGTTTTACTTTGTTTTAGGTTCCTAAATATTTGTCACAGCAGTGGACTAAAGCCCCTGGAAGAGGTGAAGTTGGGAAACTGCGGATTGCCAAGTAAGTTATTTATGTATTTTTGACATTTTAAAAAGCTGTGTTTTGGAATTTTTACAAGTGCTTTTAAATGTAGTTACAGTTCTTTCTTAGGTAGAGAATTTACCTGGAAAATGAGAAGTAATGAGCATGTCAAGGCTTGTCAACAGATGGTTAGGTGCCCTGTAGGGGTTGTGTGTGCACATGTACACACACACATGCATCCCTCTGGTGATAGGTATAAATGTAAAGTCAAATTTATTGGTAAAACTTACTGGCAGTGAAGCAGCAGAGTATATAGTTCTCTTTTCCCCCCATCCTCGCCACATCTTATGAGGAGGTGTGCTTGAGTTGGACATAACTGGATGCACCAAGTTAAGTGCTTCAGTAGAAGGATTTTGCCACTGTGCCACCATATCTATTTATAGAGGTGTTGGAAGAGGTAGGGAACACCTGGTAAACAATCTAAGTGTAGTTTCCTGGTTGAAGAAATGGCCTTGTTAGGGACGGAAGCCTCCAGAGCTCAGCCCATGTCAGCCAGAGGCCTTGTGTTTCATTCTATCCATTCTTAATCCAACTTTAAACAGATTTCCATTCCTAGTACTCCATTGAAATAGCTCTTGTCTGTCACTAATATCCTCCTCTTTATCAATTAGCTTTTGCTTCGTAACAAACCACCCCAAAATTTAGTGGCTTAGAACAAAAACTGTTTTATTTGCTTATAATTCTATGGGGCAGTTCTGGTTGGGGCTAACATGGCTGGTCTTCCTGGCTAGAATGGCCTCACTCATGTGTCTAGTGGCTGGCTTGCTATCAGCTGGGGCAGTGGTCATGTGTGTTTCATCTTCAGCATGCTCATTCACATGATGGTGAAAGAGTTCCTAGTAGCAAAAGAGAGGGAAGCCACAATGCACAAGCACTTTGCAAGCCAGTGCTTACATCATGTTTGCCGAAGTCCTGTTGGCCAATGCAACTCACATAGCCAAGCCCAGATTCAAGCGTGGAGCAATAGACTCCACCTCTTGGTGGGAGTTGCTACAAAGAATTTGTGGTTCTTTTTTGCAGTCTACCACATCCACATTCCTAAATCTTAAGAGTCAGCTAGCAGCCAGCCCTCCACTTAATTGACCTTCAAGAGAATTTCACGTAGTTGATCATGTCTATCCTCAAACCCTTTTTTTCATTTCACTTCTGGGACAGCACTCTCTTGATTCTCCTCTTCCCTCACTGGCTGTTCCTACTTAGTCTCTCTTGCTGGCTCTTTCTCATCTTCTCAGTCTGTAAGTATTATTTGACCCCAGGGCTTAGTCTTCAGTTCTTTTCTCTCTCTTTTGACTGACTTCCTAGGTGGTCTCACCTAGTGTCATAGCACGTACCAGGTGGTATTTAAAGATGTATCTCAAGCCTGGTCTCTCCCCTGATCTCCAGACTCGTACATCTGACTGCCTCTTTAGGTTTCCACTTGGATGTCTCAGAAGCATCTCAGACTTAATAGTCGCTATTCCTCTGTTCCTTCTCTCTGGAACATTCTTACTCTAGATATCCCCATGGCTTGCTCCATACTTCTTTTAGGTTTCTGTTCAAATGTTAGCTCAATGAGGCCTTTTCTGACCACCCCATATAAAATAGCACCCTGTGCCCTCTTATCTCCCTTATTCTCTTTTCTCCCTCTGTAGTGCTTACTACCATTCTTTCATTAGTTGATAAATATTTATTCAGCTTCTACTGTGCCCATTGATATACTGTACATTTGCTTGTGTTGTCCGTCTCTCCTGCTAGAGCACAAGCTCCACGAGGTCAGGAGTTTTGTCTTGGTGACTGTATAGCTCCAGGGTCTAGAGCAGCGCCTGGTGTAGTAGACACTCAGTAAATGAAAACTGCTATGACAAATTTAGTAACAATAGCTGTTTTATTCTTTGATTTCCTTAGGCTATAATTCCAAAAGTGAGAGAGTTAGAAAATCAGAGCGTGACATTTTTCAGGCTTAAATTTTTCCTGCTTGCTCTCCCTAGACCTCTTTTTGCCTAAAATACCCACTATCTCTATGCAAAGCTTATACTTTTGGAGAGATCATTTTAAAGTTTCCTCATTAAAGCCAGTCAACTGTGGAGTTTGGATTTGGTGAACTCCTTTTGGGTTTCGTTCTTTGGAGGAGCAATGCTGTATTCTTAGATGATGTCACATCTTTAAAGTAAGAAACTTTGATGCCTTCATGTGTTTATGCCCCAGGTATTTTGTTCTTCATCTTACTTGTCTTCATTCTAGACATATCTTTTCATTCTTCATTTTGTTTTAACAAGATATTGATTGGAAACAGGCATGCTTTTATATCCAAAGTTCTAAAGTTCGGTAGGGACAAGTAATATCTTCTTTTCTCAAGAAACAACGACACATTTAATAGCAGAACCAGGCTTGAATTCAGGCCTTTGAGTGATAAGAAAACTCCAGCAGGTTCCAGTTCCAGCTCTGTCACTGTCAGTGAGACTTTGTACGAGTCACTTAATCTTTTGAGTTTAGATTCCTTATCCCTAAAGTTGCCTATTTTGCAGGCCTTTTATATGAATTCAGTGAGATAATATGGAAATGGTTGTCATTTATTTGTATATTTAACTTTATAAAATGAACATATTCCTGGAAAGTTGTAGATAAATCTTTTTTTTTGAGTTGTCATACTTTTGTTGAAAGAAAAAAGGAATGCATACTTTTAATTGAAATCTGTGGTGATCTTTTTCCTTTTTCAATGTGGAATCCTTTGTAATGCAGTTAATTATGTACTTTTTCTGTTGTGGACTTCAGAATTTCTTATAATTGGTTTTACTGGAAATGGGAGCCACCATTAAAATAAAATCTCAGAAGTGTGTCACTGAGGAAAGGCCGGCTAGAGTGTGTACATGATGAGCCATGTGGTATTGTGGAATGACCACACTAGAGCTCAGGACCTGGGTTCTAGTCCTGAGTGGCTCTTGATACTTGTTTGGCCTTAGGCCTTAGCCGTCTAAGCCTTAGCTTTCTTGTTTCTAAAATGTGAGTAATAATGCCTTCCTGACCCATAGGATTTTTATGAGACAAATGAACTAGCTTAGGGTTTGTTAAAATGCGTTGTAAACTCAAATATTCTCCTTTCCCTGCCATGACTATTGCCTTCCTGAACCTCTGTGTAAAGAAAATGCCTGGTTGAGGAATGTAAAATTTTTCTTTCAGTGTGGGGAGAAGGGGCTAGTATGAGGAAATAGAGTGAGAAGAGCTGAGGTTCAGGGAAAATGTAAGCCCTAGGTACTACTTTAATCCCTAAAGTAAAATATTAAAGATAGCATGCTAAATAGCTAATAATAATGGATGTGCTGCAATTTTTATCACCCTTTGCTTGGTAGAAAATTTCAAGCTCCTTTTCTCCCTTAGTTTAAAGCAGATGGTTTACGTAGTTGCATCTAATATACATAGGGTGGCCATACCCCCAAATTTGCCTAGAACAGACCCAGTTTACATGTTTTCCCTGTGCAATTAATAATGTCCCCTCTTTCACTCTTCAGAGTGTCCTGGCTTTGACCATAAACTATATGTTTGACCCTTAATATTAACAGATGTCTGTGTGTATTTTATATGTAGATCTAGTAGATTTTCTACCTAACATGATACATAATCTTGTAGAAGATCTAGATCCTTTTAATGATGAGAGCAGATTTATAGTTATTAGTACTGTAAGATTGCTATGGAAATGCTTGAAAACAGCCTGTTCCATAGTAGGTTGCTGGCTATTTTGTTTATGTTACTAATTTACTTAGCTTTCATTGCTTTCACTGAATTACTAAATTCACTGTTAAACAAGTATAGGATGAGTGAGGAATAGCTTAGCAGGGAATGTGACTAGATTATCAGGATTTTAGTTGATTTCAAGCTAAATATGAGCCATCAAGGTTATGTGGCTATAAACAGAAGGCTCCATTAATAGGTGTTTGTTTAGAGTGAAGTGGGATGATAATCCCATTCTTTTCTTTGCCAGTTAGCTTACAATGCAAACATTATGTCCATTTCTTCGTGCTGCACTTAGAGACAGGGACAAATAAGTTCATTCAGTGGAGTGAAACTAGGATAATGAGAAAACTAAAAAAAAATCAGTGTCCTATGAGGAACGTTGAAGGTACTATGGCTGTTAAGAGAAGATTTAGGGCAGACCAGGTGAAACTGTCTTCAAATATTTTTAAGACTAGAAGATGTATAATCAACTACTGGTTCTTAGAGAGGCAAATTAACCAATTTCGGGGGGTATCTGTGTGGTTAAAAAAAGTATATTTGGGTAAAAAATGAAAATGATGAAGGTTTTAAAAAAGCAACGTGGCATATTGATTATGAGTATGGACTCAGGAGTCAGTGAGCTCTGGGCTTTTTTTGTCACTTGCTAGCTATGTGACTTTGCTTACCCCCTCTGTTTCTTTATCTGTTAAAAGGACATGGCATTAATACCTCATAGGTTAAATGCATGTAAAATACTTATAAGTGTTCACCTACTGTCATGCCACACATACTACGCAGTACAGACAGTAGACCCTGCATTGTGTCTGATGTCGTGGTGAGGGGAGGTCCCCTCCCCGTCACATCTCCCAGAGTTAAGCAGCAGCAGCTTGCTGTGTGACAGGCCAGGAGCTAGGAAGATCTACATGGTGTTTGTTCATTCCAGCAGAGGCAGGACTGGGAGAGACAGAGGGGAGGGAGAAAACATGCAGCTGGGATTGCAGCTCTTCCGAAATTTGGTTCTGTTTATACCTGAGAAAAGGAGAGTCCAGTTATGAATAAGATGAGAGTTAACAGCTTATTTTAACAGTTGGTAACATTTGGGCCATTTTTGGCAAGCAATTTATGCGATGTTCTAAACCATTGTACTTGGATTATTTTTATACCTTTGGACATCTAATGTGTACCGCATTTTAGTTAGTTTATAATTTTGCTTTAGCTTGTGTAATTTCAAAACCGACCTGTCTACATCACCATCCTGCCTCAGAAAACTTCAGTTTTCAGTTTGATATATG